TATATTCCATGTCCATTCTTAATATAAATTTGGATATATAAATATACATTTGAAAGCAAATGTAAATGACTAAGTAGGTAAGCCATGGGTCCGGTGTACCCAAAGTAAGATGAATATGAGCCAGAATTCCATTGTACCTGTATTAGTTTCCTACTGCTGTTGTAACAAGTTATCACAAATGTAGGGATTTAAAACAATACAAATTTATTATCTTATAGCTTCAGAGATCAGAAGTCCATAATAAGTTTCACTAGGATAAAGTCAAAGTGTCAACAAGGATGATTCCTTCTGAAGACCCTAAGTGAGATTCTATTTCCTTGTCTATTTGAGCTTCTAGAGGCCACCTTGGCATATGGCCCCTTTCTCCATCTTCAAAGTGAATCACGCCAATCTCTGCTTCCATGATCACATCGCCTTCTCCTCTGGCCGACTACTTCTCCACCCCTCTTCTTAGTATCATTGTAATTACATTGGACCCATCTGGATAATCCCCATTTCAAGATTCTTAATCACATCTCTGAAGTAACAGATGTAACAGGTAACATTAACAGGTTCTAGGCATTAAGATGCAGACATAATTTGAAGACTATTATTCATCCTACACCTAACACCATATACATCCTGCTCAAGTAAGGATGCCACAATAGCACTGTGGATTGCTGGGTTTGAAGATCAACTCAGATCTTGTTTTCCAAAGCCTTTGAAATGTTTGGGTATTTATCTTTATCTCATGTATAATTATCTGAATAAATGACCATAAGTTATCTTGGGAGACCTGAGATAATTGCTTCTCCCCTTGCAGTGGTGTTACAAAATCCTTTTTCATTAAAACCCATCTTCTCTAGTCCATGAGTTCTGAGTCTGAAAACTAGCTTAGTGCTGGAAACTGAGTAATTGATTGTGACTTTCCATTGCGGCTCACTTCAGTTTTTTGTTACTCTGTTCTTTGATCTCTTTGATTACTTATATTAAACAATAACATTTCTGCAAAACATAATATTCTGAGTCTTTTCCATAGACCCCAATAAGTCAGGCCCTCTGCTTGCCATTTCAACCCAGATATTCTTGCTGTTATTAACTCATCTCATGTTAAATGCCTAGGATACATCTCAGTGGTCAGAGTTCCACTCCTTTCCTATCAGTGTCCTGGTTTTGCATTGGAGATTTGCTCAAGTGCAAATTCTACATTCTCTATAGTTTTGGCACACTTAGACTCACAAAACTTTACTAATTAAATTCTGTGCCTGATCTTTAGCCCTGTTTGACCTTCAGAGGTAGGAGATAAGAGTCTTTTTTAAAAGTGCTGCCAAGGACGACCTCTAGCTCACACAATTTGCTTTATATTCTTGATTAACAAATCTGAATTACATTTTTTTTCTTTTAAAATCATTAGTGGTGCTCAGCAACAACCACTCAGTTATATTTCTTCAAACTTCTCAAATGCCCCAGATATTGTACCAGCTAGTGCCTTTCCTTCTACCTGTATCTCATCCCAGTTTATCGCAGTTGAACTTTCTAGCCATCTCACTGCTACAATATACCAGAGATCACTAATGTCTACCGACCACAAGTAACAGAGTCATTTTTGCTATTCAGGGGGTGAATATACTGGCTGAAGAATCCCATTGGTAAAGTATGCTTCCTAGCACACCTTTTAGCAGCACCTATTCCAGATCAGGTTTTCTAAGAGTAGAGCCTAGAATGGCAGATCATCTCTAAATGAGAATCTGGGTTGATTCCCACAGACTAAAGGGAATGAGGTAGCCAGGAAAGGGTAGAATATAAAAAAGTTAACCCAAATTCCTGTTTCAGCTAAAAAACCAGCTGCAGTATGATCCTATAAGAAAGCTCTGGAGGACAAATTGCACCAATTATTCTACCTTGTAATAAGGGAACCATTTTCATATCTTCTTCTCAGGAAGGCATTGGCCAAGTTGGCTGGAGATACTTAGCCTTCAGGGACAATGGTTCTAGTTTGGCTGAGTGAAATTCCCTGGAGAAGGCAGCAGTCATGAATTATATACTTGGTCAAGACTCACAGCTACTAGAGAACGTGTGCACTGGCTGAAAAAGAGGATCTGGGTAGGGCACCATCATTCTCTACATAAAATTTCACATTCATTGTTTAATTTTTACTTTGAATCTCCCAGATCTGCATAACTACAGCAATTGAGGTACTTTAGGTGAGCAAGACATCCTATGTAATCTTGTTTTGTTTCCTTTATTCAGATAGACTATCTATACTATAAAATTACTCAGATGATTGTCAATCCCTACTTTCACTTAGGGCTGTAAAATTCTATACATTAGCTCATATTACCCTTTTAATATAATTACACTTTGTATAAAATTACACTTTGTATAAAATTCTATACATTAGTTCATATTACACTTTGTAAAATAAAGATGTAGCTATTATCCTGTTATTTGGATCATCCAGTGTGGATAACTTGACCCCCAAGTTAGCTTTTATTTTCTTACTTGAATAAATCAATTTATTTATTTAAATTAATAAAAGCCAGCTTTTCAGCTCTGGTATATTGGTCTGTACTTGACTGGGATTATTTTATTTTTTTATTTTTTATTTTCCTTTTCTTTCTTTCTTTCTTTCTTTTTTTTCTTTTTCTGTACAACACCAAACAGTAGATAAAAAGCTAAAAATCGGATGGTTCTGATGAAGAGTATGGCACTCTGTTTTCATACCACTTTTCAGCCACTTTTTCAAGTTGCGATGAGTAATGAAATTGTGTTTTCATTTAATCTGTGTGATTTCTGTTCCCTTAAAGGTAGTTGATCTGATTTAACAGTATTTCCCCTCATCCAGGGAAATGTGATTACCTTTTTGCTTCCAGGGAGTAGTAAGATGTCAATTAGATGCTGAAATCATATTAAAGCTGAATTTTCTTTTCTTGAGTTTTTAAACTTAATTTTGGAATACATATTTTTCTTAAAAGATTTTACTTTAAAATAGAAAAATTTGGATCACTGATCCAAATATTATTTAAAAACAACAACAGTATACTGTTATTTTGGACTGAAAAGAAAATAAAGTAATTCATAGAGTCGAAGCATTTCCATGGGGCATAGGGCCATGGTGTCTCCATGTTCCTATGTAATAGATGAATATACTTGAATTTATGTTCAGTATTTAACAAAAGTGATTATATGCTCCTTACATCTTTATTTAAACTATAATTTTATTTTAAGGAGAACATCCCTTTAGAATTTTTGAAGGCTTTTTATTTTCTAGGTGCTAATAGTTAAATTTGTTCATTAATAATCTGAAGCATTTATTTTATGATGTTTTTAGTGAAAAAAATTATTCAAAGTCTAACTTCTTTTTTTTTGGATTTTAGACTTAATATCACCTGAAGAAGCCCTTTGGAATTTTCCAAAGATTAAAAAAAAAAAAAGTATTTTTCCCCCTAAATTGAAACTGAAATTTTCAGAGAGAAATAAAAATATTACTATAAAAAAAATCTATGTGACACCTTAGACTACTTTAAAAAAAAAAAAAAAACTGAAGTTTTGGCCCTGGAGCAAAAGGTTTTTTTTTATATATATTGTCTAACTGTTTCAAATACTTAGAGCTCATCTACTTTGCATGGCAACATCCATTGTCATAAAGATCTTTGAGAGAGAAAAATCTTTCTATGGGAAATTTAACTATACTGTGTCATGGAATGAATTTACATGCCAAATTTACATGCTGAAGCTGTAAACCCCAATGTGACTATATTTGGAGATAGGGTTTTTGAAGTTAAATGAGGTTATAAGGGTGAGGCTCTAATCCAATAGCACTGGTATCCTTATAAGAAAAGGAAAGGACAATACAGGTCTCTCCCAGGGCACACAGAGTAAAGGCTATTTTGAGGATAGAGTGAGAAAGCACTTGCCGGTAGGCCAGGAAGAGAGTTCTTACTTGGAATCAGATTTGCTCATATTTTGATTTTAGGCTTTTGGTGTCCAGAACTATTAGAAAATAAATTTCTGCTGTTTAAGTCAGTATTCCCCAACCTTTTTGGCACCAGGGACAGGTGCTCCTATGAGAATCTAATGCCTGATGATCTGAGGTAGAGCTGAGGTGGTGGTGCTAGCACTAGGGAGTGGCTGCAAATACAGATGAAGCTTTGCTTGCCTGCCACTCACCTTCTGCTGTGTGTCACAGTTCCTAACAGGCCATGGTCCAGTACTGGTCCATGGCACTGAGGGTTGGAGACTCCCGGTTTAAGCCACCTAGACTGTGATATTTTGTTATGAAAGCCTGAATAGACTAATATTGAAAGTAATTGATGTCATAAGTGAAACATCTAAATGAGTCATTCAGATAGTATATATTAGATCATTTTCTGTTTCACATTTACTATCTATTGGTAGAAAATATCCAATTCAGAGTAAAAAATTATTAACTTGTATTTGGTAGCATCACGCAAATACCAACAGTGACAGCTAATTATTGATTTTGGCACTGACAATGTACTTCTATAATTATTGATAAAATGTTTTAAAGATAGCACTAACTTTGTATGCATTAATTCTCTTATTCTTTTTTCTCTTTCTAAAGATATTTTATACTTAAAATATGTAAATTATATTTACTGAATATTTTCTATATATTACATATAGTCCATACATATTAGTATTTACACCACTGAAAAGGACAAATGTTACAAAATTGGATCTTTTCCTCTACCACACCAAGAATCAGTTATTAAACGTTACTAGCACATCACTACTTAATATGTATTTAAAACCAAGCCAGAATCTATGAGCAAGTACAAAAAAAAAGCATGTGACGTAGCTCTTAGTCTTGAAATTTTAATGTAAAAAAGGAGATAAAACTCATATACTCAACAAGACTATTACACAAATGTTATGTTTATTCATTCGCAAAGTCATTAATTTAATTTTTATGAAATTTTATTATGAAACATCATGATACAGATGGGTTTATGAAACTATGTACAGTTTAAAAAATCAATTATATATAAAGAACTGTGGTGCTCTCACTTCAGCAACACATATACTAAAATTGGAACAATACAGAGAAGATTATCATGGCCCCTGTGCAAGGATGACAGGCAAATTCATGAAACATTCCATATTTTTCCAAAAAACTGTTAGAATTGATCAATGAATTCAATAAAGTAGCAGGATACAAAATTAATATTGAGAAGGCACTTTTATACACCAATTATGAAATTTCAGAAAGAGAAATTAAGAAAATAATCCGATTTACGATTGAATCAGAAACAATAAAATACCTGGGAATTGAATTAACCAATTAGGTAGAAGACATGTTCTCAAGAAATTATAAGTCACTGAAAAAAGAAATTGAAGAAGATACAAATAAATGGAAGCATATACCATGCTCACGGATAGGAAGAATCAACATCATTAAAATGGCCATACTACACGAAACAATCTATAGATTCAATGCAATCTCTATCAAAATACCAATGGGATTTTTCAGAAAACTAGAACAAAAAAATCTTAAAATTTATGTAGAACCATAAAGACCCTGAATAGCCATAGCAATCTTGAGAAAGAAGAACAAAGTTGGAGGTGTCACACTACCTGATATTAAACTATATTACAAGCCTACAGTAATCAGAACAGCATAGTACTAGCATAAAACCAGATACACTGATCAATGGAACAGAATGGAGAGCCAAGAAATAAATCTTATATACTCACTTAATGTATGGCAAAGGAGGCAAGAATATGCAATGGAGTAGAAAGTCTCTTCATTAATTGGTGCTAGAAAAATTGGACAGATATGTGAAAAAAAAGAAAAAAAGAAAAGAAAAGAAACTGGACTACCTTCTTACACCATATAGAAGAAAAGACTTAAAATAGATTAAAGACTTAAATGTAAGACCTGAAACCATAAAATTTCCAGAAGAAAACATAGGCGGTAATCTTTCCAAAGTTGCTACTAGTAATTTATTTTTGGACATATCTCATCAGGCAAGGGAAACAAAAGAAAAAATAAACAAATGAGACTACATCAACCTAAAAAGTTTTTTCACAGCAAAGTAAAACATCGACAAAACATGAAAGACAACTGACTGAATGGAAGAAAAATATTTGCTTATGATACATCTGATAAGAGGTTAATATCCAAAATTTATAAAGAACTCATATAACTCAACAATAACAATAAACAATTCAATTAAAAAATGGGCAGAAGACCTGAACAGATATTTCTCCAAAGAGAAAATACAGATGGCCAATAGATATATGCAAAGATGCTCAAGTTCACTAATCATCAAATAAATGCAAATTAAAACCACGAGATATTATCTCACACCTTTCCGAATGGCTATCATCAATAAATCAAAGAACAAGTGTTGGTGAGTATGTGGAGAAAAGAGAACCCTCATACACTGTTGGTGGGACTGCAAATTGGTATAGCCACTATGGAAAATAGTCTGGAGGTTTCTCAAAAAATTAAAAATGGATATACCTTTTGACCCCGCAATTACACTTCTGGGTATTTATCCAAAGAAAATCAAAACAATAATTCATAAAAATCTATGCACCTCTATGTTCATGGCAGCACAATTTAAAAGAGCTAAGATATGGAAGCAACCTAAATGTCCATCAACAGATGATTTAATATAGAAGTTATGGTTCATGTATACAATGGAATATTACTAGCCATAAAAAAAAAAAAAAAAAGTGAAATCTTACCATTTGCAATGACACGGATGGACCTAGAGGTTATTATGTTGAATGAAATAAGTCAGACAGAGAAAGATAAATACATATGATTTCACTTATATGCGGAATCTAAAGAACAAGAAGAACAAGCTAATCAAAAACAGACTCACAAATATAGAGGACAATCTGGTGACAGCCAAAGGGGAGAGGTTTGGGAAACTTGGAGAAAGGGGTGAAGGGTTAACGAAGTACAATTTAGTAGCTGATAGATAGTCACGGGGATGGGGAGCACAGCATAGGGAATGCTGTTATCATTAATATATTGGCTAGGTGGAAAACCATCAGAGAGAAGGAGTAATTAGGGGGATCGTTTTATAAACTACATAAAGGTTTAACCAATGTATGTAAACTTAAAATAATAATAAAATTAAATTTAAAAAATCTTAAGATGCTCAAAGTGAAAAATATGCTCAAAGCATAGAAATCTGGCAATGAAACTTAGGGGTATGTGGTTTATTACTGTATTTCTACATGATGCAATAACTGAATTTTATGACAAACCTAAGTTGCCAGAAAAAATTGAACTAAGGCTTCCACATGCACTAAAGAAACAGAAACTTGAGAAATACATATTTAAAAGTATTTTAATAAAACTACCAAAGTAAATTAAAAAAAGAGAGAACTGTGTAATCACACCACAAAATATAAGAAAGAAAACATTTTCGTTGCCTCAGAAGTCTTCCAACTGCCTCTGATTTTCTCTTTTAAGTACTATAGTGAAAAGACCCTGAAGGACTTAAGGCTATATTTTGGAATTTTTAATATCAAGTTCTGGTCACATTCCACTTCTTCCTACCAAACCCTTATCCTAAATAATCACTTTTACAGTCTATTCTTTCATGATTTTTTTTTTTTCCTTTTAATCAACATGTCTGGCCTTTCTTCCATGTTGCTGCATGTAACTGTGGTTCATTCATTTACAGTATTATTTAATAAGAATTTACCTGTTCATTGTTTTATTCTTTTTTTAAAAATTGAAATACCATTTATATAACATAAAATTCACTCTTTTAAATTGTACAATTAAGTGTTTAGTATATTCACATAGTTGTGCAATCACTAACACTATCTTATCCCAGAACATTTTTATCACCTCCTAAAAATAACCCATATCCATTTGCAGTCACTACCCATTGCCTCCCTATCCTCACCCCACTCCAGACTCTGACAATCACTAACTTACTCTGTTTCTATGGATTTCCCTGATCTGGACATTTAATAAAAATGGAGTCATGCAATATGTGACTTTTCATGTCTGGATTCTTTCTACTCAGCAAAATTTCTCAAAGTTCACTGATGATGTAGTATGTATCAGTACTTTTTTTTTCCTTTTTGTTGCCAAATAATATTTGATTGAATGGATATACCATTTTTACTTATTCATTAATAGTCTGATGGACATTTGGGTCATCTCTGTTTTTTGGCTATTATGAATAATGCTGCTATGAACTTTTGTGTATAAGTTTTTGGTGGAGCATATGTTTTTGTTTCTTGGGTCTCTAGCAGCGGAATTGCTGGGTCATATGATGAAGCTAAGTTTAATTCTGTAAAAAATTCTAAAGTTTTCTCATTTTTTTCTATTTTTACTTTTTACTTTTTTTTTTTTAAATATTGTCTATTTCTGACTTTAGTTTTAAACTACCCCCTCCCCCCTGAACCAGTTTTATGGGAAAATGTCAAAGTTTTCCAAATCAGCTGTGTTATTTTTCATTCCCACCAAAAATGTGTGAGGGTTCTGATTTCTCCATATCTTCAACACTTGTTATTTTGTCTTTTATTATAACCATTTTAGAAGTGTGAAGTGGTATTTCCTTTTGGTGTTGAATTTGCATTTACCTAACAATTAGTGATGTTGAGCATCTTTTCACATGCCTAATGGCCATTTGTATATTTTGTTTGGAGAAATGTCTATTCAAATACATTTGTCTTTTAATTAAGTTTTAAGAGTCTCTATGTATAATAGAATCCATTATCAAATATATGATTCAGAAATATGTTCTCACATTCTGTGGGCTTTTTTCCCCACTTTTTTTGATAGCATCTTTTGAAGCACAAAAATGTATAATTTTGATAAAGAGTACTTTATTTTTTTCGTTTTTCACATTTGGTCTGTGGTATCATATCTAAGAAATCATTGCTTAGTCCTTGGTCATGAGGGGTTATATCTGTTTTCTTCTGAAGATATTATAGCTTCGACCATTATATTTAGGAATAAAATCCACTTTGAGTTAATTTTTGTATGGGTGTGATGTAGGGTTTGGCATTCATTTTTTGGACTGTGACTATCCAGTTGTCTCAGAACCATTTGTTGAAAAACTATTGTTTCCCCACTGAATTATCTGGGCATAGTTACTAAAAAGTAATTAGCCATAAAGATAAGAGTTTATTCTTGAACTCTCAGTTCTGTTCATTGATCTATATGTCTAGTCTCATGTCAGTTCTACATTGTCTAGATTACTATAGCCTTGTGTAAGTTTTGAAATCCTCTTTGTTCTTTTTAAAGATTACTGTCTTTGGGACCCTTGCATCCACATATGAATTTTAGGATCCACTTGCCAATTTCTGCCAAAAAAGTGCAGTTGGGGTTTTCATATGAATTATGTTGAATCTGTAGACTAATATCACATTTTTAAACCCAAGAACATAGAATGGTTTTCCATTTATTTAGTTTTTTAAAATTTCAACAATATTTTGCAGTTTTCAATGTACAAGTTTTGTACTTTTCTATTGAATTTAATCTTAAGTACTTTATTCTTTTTGATTCTATTGCAAATTAAATTGTTTTCTTAATTTAATTTTCAGATTCTTCGTTGTTACTATATAGGAATACAGTTATTTTTTATAATGATTTTAAATTTTACAACATTAATAAACTTGGTTGTTAGATCTATCTTTTATAGTCTCTAAGAATTTTATTTAAGATCATGTCATCTACAAATAGCTGTAGTTTTCCTTTTTCCTCTCCATCTGGATGGCTTCTAATTCTTTTTCTTGTTTAGTTGTCTCAGCTAGAATCTCCAGTATAGTGTTGAACAGATGTACTAGAGTGGACATTGATGTCTTGTTCCTAATCTTAAGAGAAAAGTGTTCACTGTTTTACCATTAAGTATCATGTCATTACTAGATCTTTTTGTGTTTTCCTTTTATCAGTTTGAAAAAGTTACATTGTAATTTTAGTTTGTTCAGTTTTCTTTTTTCTGATAAAAAGATATAGATTTTTTTCAGGTTTTTCTCTGTGTACTAAGATGATAATGTGTTTTATTTTCCCATTTATTCTATATATATGTTGTGTTAAAATGACTATTTTATTTTTGTTGAACTACCCTGTACTCCTGGAATAAATACAATTTGATGATGACTATACTACTTCTTAGGATTTTTTA